CACACACACACACACACACACAGCCATCTGCTCGGGACCCCACACGCCTCAGGGTCTGGCTCCCGAGGCCCCAGCAGCCTGCTGTCCTGCCACACACAACCACCTCTTACAAGTGCTGTCCCAGGCTGCCCAGCCAGCCCCTCCACAACCTGGGAGAGGAACCAGCAGGGACGGCCAGAGAAGTGTGACAAGAAGGACACATCAGCCAGGCTGAGAGCCACCTGTGGCAGGCAAAAACTCTTTTGGTCACAGCCACAGCAGCCAGGGGCACCCTTCCAAGATCCTGCCCCATACAGCTCCTCACCCATGGGCTGACCCCACGAGCCACAGGCAGGGACAGACCACTGAGCGCGTGAGGCCCCCACCCCACCTACAGCGGAACTGTCGTGGCCAGGCAGTGTCCTGTCCACCTGGCCCACCCCACAGGGGCCCACGACCAGACAGTTCTCCCTCTGGACGCCGGCCCTGGGACAAAGTGCCCAATAGCAGGATGGGCCACCAGGAGGCAGGCTGAGAAGAGTCAGGGCCACCCTGTGGTGGCCCCACTCTGTGTCCAGTGAGCACTGAGAAGCCCGGGACTCTGCCCCAGCCCTCAGTCAGCGCGCACTGCGGCTGGTGCCGGGGACAGTCTGATCGGGCAGGTGCTCAGACCCGGCAGAGGCAGCAGCCTCAGGCTGGGGCCAGAACAGTGCTCGGCCCGCATCCTCCTCGGAAGCCCAGAAACCAAGGACGGGTCCTTGGAAAGTGGGAGGGGCTGTCTGAGCACGGAGGGTCAGAGCGCCCTRGGGACCCCAAGGGCCATCTCTCCCCAGGCTCTCCCCTCCAGCTGCTCCCACAGGCCCCTGTCCCGGGAGTGAGACCCCAACACCCAGTGCACCCCAGCCAGCGCAGGCCCACGGCGCCCCCCCGTGTGGAGGCTCCCCACTGAAGCACCTCCCACAGGCAGCCAGGACRCAGGAGCCACCTCCAGGCACAACTCTTGCAGAGGTGGCCTAAGACAAACAGCTGGGAGCCCAAGCAGGTGGCCACCAGCAGCCCCCAAAGCTGCCCTAACAAGAGCCAGGGGAGCCCTCATCTGTGGTCCCATCTGTGTGGGGAGCCCCTTGCAGGGAGGAGACAGGCCGGGTGCCAGAACACCATTGCTCACCCCACCCACTCAGCACCGCGGTGGGCCAGCTCCTCCACGGGCCAGATATTCCTGCCTGCTGCCCAACCGTCACCGCCTGGCCCCCGTGTCCCCGCCCCGCCCACTGTGCCAGCTCCTGCGCTCCTCTCAGCCTGTCCCAGAGGCAGGGCCGGCAGCGGGAACAGCAGCTCAGAGATGCAAGAAGGATGAGCGCTGAGCAGAGGTGGCCAGAGGAAGCCCAGGGGGTGCCGCACAGGATGGCTCAGAGGCCACACACTGGACGCTGCAGGACTGGCCGGACGGCCAGAGTGGCAGAGGCCAGAGGAACAAACAGGAATACAGGCGGCCCAGGGCACAGCTGAGGAGAACCGCAGTTCCAGAGGTCTGGGAGGTGCGCCAGCGCACAGGGACTCAGAGCACGAGTACGAGCCGGGCTGCGGCCTGGGCCCTGGCTGACCGGGACACGGTGACAAGGAAGAGCAAGGCCCAGAAGGCAGGAAGGGCCGCCCATATGCCTAGGCACGAGCACCTGAGCGCCTGGCCACTGTAACCCCATGACGGCCTCCTCTCGCAATCTGAGGCCAGAGGCCAGGAGCACCTSTCCTGGGCCAGATCCTTCGTGGCTCTCCTTGCGTTTCCCCACAGCCCTGGGCTCCAGCCCCCGTCCAGCTCCTGGGCCAGCAGCGCAGTGTCGTCCAGCTTCTCCCCGACTCTGGCCCTCCTGCCTCCTCCCATGAGGACCCTGTGGTGACCTTCGGCCCCAATGACCAGGGTGACCCCAGCTCAGGGCCCTTTACTGATCCCATCTGAAGAGCCACGTGAGGTGACACAGCCACAGGCTCCGGGGATCAGGGTGTCGCTTGGGAATACCGTTCAGTCTGTCACAGTCACCACGGGACTAGCACAGTCCCCAAAGACCACACAGACCCTGCAGACCGCCACTCGGCACCGCCCACCTCCCTGACGGGAGCCTGCTCTGCCTGGGCCTCCAGGGAAGACGCTCAGGCACAAACAGCCTCCGCAAGAGACACTGCACGAGGTGACCGCAAGCCCACCCTCCAAATCGTCGTGGCCACGGGGTGAACGTACAGGGACAGTGGCCTCAAAGTGCAGCAGAGGAACGCTGGTCCCCTGTCTGCTCCACGTGTGTCCTGGCCTGCATCTTCATGCTGGTGGCATCCCTAGAGGCCAGGCCCTGGGCTCCCACCTCCCCCCGCCCCCCAGGAGTGAGGCCAAGGCATCAGGAGCACGGCTGCAGCTGACCACACGCGAGAGCACAGCGGGGAGAGAGCAGGCAGGACTCGGCGCTCCCGGGCCGGCCTGTCGCTAGTCCCCAGGAGTGTGGCCCCAGGACCTCTAGGGCCACCCCCTAGAAGGTGTCYAAGACTCCCAGGCCTGGCCAGAGGAACCAGCCCCCCATGGGAGGAGGAGCATGGCGGAGAGCTGCCTGGAGCGTTCTCGGGGACTCTGGTCTCTACCCAATGAGGGGCTGGCCTTGCTCACACCCCATCTTCCTACCCAAGCACCCCAAACTACAGAAGAGAAATCCAGCCGCCACCACATGACCACGGCTTGGCCCTTGCTGAAAGCCAAGGAGGCAGGCGAGACCGACGGCCCTGCCCCCGACGGCAGCAGGTCCTCCAGCCTGTCCTGGGCACTGGCTTTGATTTTTTAACAAGTGCAGGCCTGTCCTGACCTACAGGAAGTGCCCACAGCCCACGAAGTCGCAGAGGCGCCCCCAGSTGGAGCATGGCACCACACAGAGCCGCGAGTCTGCCCAGGCTCGTGGGCGCAAAGCTGGAGCTCGAGGTGTGATTTTCGGCCGTGCAGGAGAAAGCCCCGAGACCCGGAAAACACGGACCTGTTTAGGGGAAGAAACGGGTGCCACCGAGCAATCTCGGGGCTCCACTAAGGGCCAGAGGTGGAGGGGACCAGGCGGCTGAGAGGCGGCTGACTGGAGTCAGCGGTCCCTGGGCAGCCAGCACGGTGCCCACCAGGAGGGGTCCACGGGCTTTCTCTTCAGGACCTCGCAGGAAATAGTTTCAGATCTGCAGAGCCAGAGTTCCGGCACAATGACCTCATCCTGCCGCCATCACCGTTATTTACGTAAAGGAACAGGCGCAGCTGTGCCAATAAAGCTTTATTTACAAAATAAAGCTCACGGGCCACAGCTGGGTGGCTCCCCACATGGATTCAGTTCCCAAATGTGGCTGGACAGAGCAGGCCTCCACGTGGACACAAAGGCCCAGGTCTAGCCCATTTAGGAGTGGCCACCTACGTGCCATGGATAGGTGCCTGCGTGGCACTGGACCCTGGGTGATGCTGAGTGCTATGCAGTGTGTCTCAATGAACCCCCGCTGTAGCCCCTCACTGTTGGTCCCCACTCTGTGCCCACAACACAAGACAAGCCAGCACATCCTGAGCGATCCCCCCACCACAGCACCAGAGGCAGCGTGCCCGGGAGGCAGGACACACCGTGGACTAACCAAAGAAATATCCAAGAGCCACCTCTGCCCCAAGGTGGAGCCTCCCATGTTTGGATGACTTGACCCCAGACGTCACAGGCCCCAGAACCAGGCGGGCCACCGCCCCCTCCCAGGGTGCAGSCCAGAGCCACCGCCCAGAGCAGGCATGGTGTCGGGCCTCATACAGCCACGAGGCAGCCAGGCCCACTTACCCACTCCAGCTTCCTGGCGAGCTCCAGGGGGCGCAGGCTGCGGGGTGACAGGAGCTCCAGGAACCGGCAGAACCTCTTCCTGTCGGGCAGCTGCAGTGAGAAGGCAGCTCCTAAAAGGCACAAAACACCAGGATCACCTGACCCGCTCCCTGGGTGGGTCAGGTGCAGCAGCCGAGCACACCRCGGCCTTGCTGGGGCTCAGCTGGACCAGCGGACGGTCAAGAACACGAGACACGTGCGCACAGCCCCTGACCCCACAGAGCTCAGCTCCTAAGCCCGGGAGAGAGGCCTGCGTCAGTCCAGTGAAAGCCAGGAGCTTCCGCGAGCCTCGAGCCAGACAGCCTCCATGAGGCTCCGCTGTCGCTCTGCCGGGCCAAGTCAGAGGGAAAGCCACCTGCCACCTCCTTCCCAGCAGAGCACAGGAGGGCAGGGCAGGGTAGCAGRGGACTCCACCACGGGCCCCAGCTCCCCGCAGAGCTCAAGCCCTGCCCACGGGCCAACTGCAAGCAGGACAGGACCTTCAGCCTCGCTGTGACACCCAGCGCCTCACAGATTGGCCGAAGCGCAGGCCCCTGCAGCACACGGTGGCCCGGGCTCCAGTGTCCTCCTCTTCCTGTTGCCTCACCAGTGCCAACTCCTGCCCAACATGCAACTCCAGGGCCCCTCAGTGGGCCTGAGCTTCAGGCAGCGACGCTCATCCCGGGGGCCCTRGATTCTGTGGTTCACCCGGAATCTCAAATGACGAAGTCTGACAAATACCCTGACAACACCAGCCACCAACACGTGTTCTGAAAGACACAGAGGCCACCGGGACAGAGCATCCGAGCATCCGAGCAGGCACAGAGGGCCCGCTGCCAAGAGCACAGCAGCCCCGCTCTTGCTCTCTGGGGGCAACAATGCCAACTCCAAAGTGGGGGGCTGGTGGCTCCAGGGCTGGGGGGAAGCCCAGTTCTCAGGGCCTAGCCCAAGCCTAGGCACTGTCCATCGTTCCTGTCCACAGTGGGTGAAGGGCCAGGCCAGCAACCTCCAATGGCCCCTCAGGAGCAGAAGTCAGGTCCCCACAGCTGGTCAGTGGCCACTCTGGGGTACTGAGGCTTGGCCCCAAACTCTGCCCCAGGCTCTGCTCAGACAAGGCCAAGGCGGGGGCCGGGTGGCCCACACAGCACCCACTCCCTAACGTGGGCTGTGTACAGGTGCCCCTCCATGGGACACAGGGAGAAGCTGCCTCACAGTGCAGACTCTGACCAGGACCACTYCAGCCAAGTAATGAGGGTCAGCACCCGCCATGGGGTGGCACATGGCCAGGACAGCCTGTTTCACAGAGGCCCTTCACCTCTGCATCTCCTCCCCGACCTGKCCATGAGGAAAACTTCAGACAGAGCCCAGCAAGGGCTCCCCGCCACCCATCACAGCCCTCCGCAGATGGCCCGGGGTAGAGCCTGGAGATGCGACAGCCCAGAGTCTACGGRGACAGGACAGCTGATGCCGTGTGGGACCCTGGGTGGGTGTGGGACAGGAAGAGGACACAGGAACAAGCAGGAACCAGCAGGAACCGGAATCGGGCACACACTGGAGAGGCTGTAACAGCAGCCTCGCTTCACTGACCACCAGACACACGTGGCGCACGAAGCCTGATGGACAGCGGGGAGGCGGGGACAGGAACCCGGGGCTCTCTGCCCAGTGTCCCCGTTCCAGAAGTCAAGCCTGCTACCACAGAAAGGCCCAGGTCGGCTAGGTCTGCCGCATCCTGCCGCCCGCGGGCCTGTGGACCTCACTGTGAGTTCTGGGCAAATCTGGGGCACTAAGAATAGAACTGGACAGGGGAGCCGCCGCAGCGCTGCAGAGCCCACAGGGAGCCAGGCCCAGGCGCCGACGCCCCAGCAGGGCGAGACCCACCACTGCACAGCCGGGCTATCCGCACATGCCGCCAGCACAGGCCCTGGGCAGGCAAGGCCCGTGCTGGCTCCTGTCTCGCTCCTCTGGCCCTCTGAAGGGCCAGGTAAAGAGCCAGTAGCACCACCATGCTGGGGGCCTGCCGCCACAGAGGCCATCCCTGGGGACCCCAAGGACCCACGCCCAATCCAAGCAGAGGTGGTCTCAGCTATCCGACTGCCAGTCACCCCAGCGGCCCAGGGCTGACCCTGTGTGTGTGACTGTGTCCACATCAGACCAAACGTCCGCCTCTCGCGCCAGACCTTGTGCAGTCCTGAGAGGCAGAGAGCTAACTGGGCACCTTGGGCCAGAGACGGCCCTCATCTGCAGCCTCAGCCACCTGACCAGGATGCTCAGCGCCCAACCCAGCCCACGCCCTCCAGGGCCACCAGCCTAAAGCCACCCTCAAAAAGGATGAGCCATTTCCTGCCTCCACCCAGCAGGAAGGTGACCCTGCTGCAGGTACTCTGTGGACCCGCTCAGGGTGCGAGGCCAGGCGGGGCTTCAGAAGGGCCTGATGGCGCCGAGGCCCTGCACCCCGTTACAGGAGCTCACGCCCAGACCACAGGCGAGTCAGCACCACTGTGCAGGCCGCGTCCCTAGTCCAAACTCTGCCCGCTGAGAGGGCCTGAGCAGTGACACCCAGCCCAGGTCATGGTCTCCGAAGCTCACCCGGAGCCCTGGGAAGAGGCAAGGTGAGTCCGGGGCATCTGTGCAGCCAGAGAGGAGGGATGTGCGCAGGACTGGCGGGCATGCAGAAGGGACGAGAAGCAGGTCCCATGGGACCACTGCACAACCAAGAGTGGCAGCGTGGWCTCAGAAGACAGAGTAGACACACAAGTCTTTACTTACAAGACACTCAGAGACTCAACGACGAGGRAAGGGCAGCTCTCCTCCCAAAGACCCCTGCTACCCGGTGCCAGGAGGGAGGGGACGTGAAATCAGCAAGGGCACGTGACAYGGAATGTAGGAAGTCAGGGTCGACACCTCAGGAGTCGGGTATCTGCACAGCTTTCAACGCACAAAGAGCAACTGTCCACTGGGAAACCCAGGGGATGCCCCCTGAGCCAAGGGTCAAGGCCAACATGCCCAGTGACAAGCAGCATGGGCACCATGTGCCTCCCGACATCTGCACGTCACCTCTGCCTTCCTCCCCCACGTCCCTAGCGCAGGCTGGTCAGGGGAATGCACCTCGGCCAGGACAGGTGGTCCACCGAAGCTCTGACCAGTGCCCTTCAAGAATGCCAAGGCGGGGGCCAGCGCATGGCCAGTTGCAGAGCACGAGACCCTGAGTCCCATCCCCAGCACCAAAAGCAAAGTGTCAAGGTCATGAAAGAAAGGTAAGGCGCTGGCCCATCCCAGGACCCTGAGGAGACAGGGCGGCCCAAGGCCCACGTGGGACCTGGACCAGGAAAGGGACGGCGGGAGGCAACGGTTGAACCCTGGTGTCACCCTGGAACTCGCTGGTTTGGAGACTTCCATGTGCTTACGTAAGGTGCTGACGGGGGCCCGGAACGAGAGGGCAGGGGAACTCTCTGCACTGTCTGTGTGACATTTCTTTAAGTCTAAAATTACTTCAAAATAAGAACTTAAAAGAATAAATGCCGCTCGGTCCACTGTCTGAAGCCCAGAAAGGGCAGGTCCCAGCGGGAGAGGGGCTGCTGTGAGTGCCCAGACGTGGGGAGGGCGACACATGGGCACAGCCCCCACAGGCCAGGCCCAAACCCCACACTTCTCATCCACGTCTGCGTGCTGGGGAGGAGCCTCTTATTTATTTGGCCACATCTTTCACMCCCGGAGACCCCAAAGCCCACCTGAGGGAGCTGCGGGCTCAGCAGGAAGACCCGCCCCAGCAGCCGGCTCGCATCCCCGTGCAAAAAATGCAAACATCACAGCACTCTTCCTCGGTGTCCCGCCAAGACGAGATATAAGCTAACTCAGGGGACAAACCTGAGTGATAAAGGGTGTGGCGTGGGCAGAGGACAGAGACCAATGGGTGAGAACCGAGTCCAGACACACACCCGGACTCTGAGGCCAGCTGGTCTCCAGCGGGTGCCAGGGCCACTCAGGGGGAAGAGAACAGCCTTTCCAGCAGAAGGCCCGGGGACAAGTGGGGCCACACGGGAGAGAGCCCAGAGCCCAGCTCACGGCAGATGTAAAAACTAAGCTGGGCACGCTGACGCACACCTGTGATCCCGGTGGCCTGGAGGCTGAGGCAGGAGGACCCAAGTTCAAAGCCAGCCTCAGCCACCTAAATAAACAAACAACAGGCCTGGGGATGTCGCTGGGCACTGAAGCGATTCCCAGTTCCCAAAACAGAAACAGCACTGACACCACGGCACTGGAGCCGAGGAGCAGAAGGAGCCAGAGCCACACGGAGGGCGCCTCGGGCCTCCCGGAAGCCTCCCCGGAGCACAGAGCCCCCCACATCAGTCTGGAGTGTCAGGAGAAGTGGGGCGCACACCAACCTCAGAACAGGCCGCTGCCCCCGGGGGGAGCAGAGCACATGGCAAGGAAGCCAAGGAGGCCTCTGAGCCTCCCTTCCCTGGGGAGAGGCCTCGAGCAGGCTCCGGGACAGCCAAGTCCACAAGACCCTGGAGCCACCTGGAAGCCAGAGCCGCCACCAACAGCTGCTTGGACCCCACCTGCCCACAGCACCACACCCTCCCCAAAGCTCCCACATCACCAGAGACAGGGCAAGCAGGTGGACAAGCACCCCTCCCAGAGGGCCAGCGAGCCAGGACAGCAGGTCTAGGACCAGGGAGGAGTCCCCAGTGCCCAGGACACACCCCCCTCCCTGGTGCCTCTGGGTAGACTGAGCTGGACTGCAGGCTGCAGGGCCATAGGCTCAGGGCTGACCATGGGGCTGCCAGCTGCAAGCTCACTCAGGACCTGGCCTGAGGGGCTCAAGCAACCCCTGGGGCACTCAGTGTGGCCGGCACACATAGCCCTTCTCGCGGCACCTGCATCTTTTTGGATCCCTACCTCAGGACAGTGAGGTGACCAGGGGGACCGGTCAAGTGGGAACAGAGGTCCTCCCTGACAGAGTCTTGGCTGGAAGCCAGTGGTCAGTGGAGGCTGCTCATGGGGGAGGGCACAGAATCCCCCTCCAAGTTTCTTCCAGAAGGTTCCACTCCCACGCTAACCCTGCCCGGCCCAGGTCCTAGTCCCACCTCTT